AGAGTAACTTCGTATCAAACAACCGTGTAATCTGATTATATCAGACCATGACCGAAATAAAGCGCTCAACCAACATCATCCACGCCCTAAAGCCGTTTTGGTTGTCACGTGGGTTACTCGCGCTAAAGGGAACCATTTTTTTCTTTTTTTTTAGCGTAACGCGGGAAAAGGTAACGCATACAACGAGCTCGTCACGTCCTGACTACTAACAAGTTATTTAATATACTAAGGCCAGGCCACATTTATTAAAATGCTCCGTGTATTAATATTTTTTTTGTATAAAATTCATCATATAATTAATAAATCTTTACCGTGTCACAGAACGACGTAAAACTGGAGATTACCGTATACCATTAACATACTAAGAGCCCCAAAACCCCAGTGCTCGTGTCCCCCCCCCCCAAGAAAAAGTGCCGTAAAAGTGAAAGATAAAAATGAAAAATAAGTTAATGAAACGGAAACCAAAACTGTTCAAATAGTGACATTGAAAAAACTATGGGTTCTGTTCGAAAGACATTTTCTAATATCTAATCCATCTGTTATTGTCGCGAAACTGTGTTGTAGGTGTGTGTGCTACGAGGATGTAAATAATAGTAACCCAATACACTTCGTAACAGGTGTCATTTGGAGGTAGGCTCAAAATGGCAGTTTATATGACACATTTCTGGTCAGGCCGGATTAACACATTTACGCAAATTAAGCCACAGCGCAGAGCCCCAGATGAACCAGGAGCCCACAAGTTGTGAACCTTCTTTGCCCCTCCCCCCAGGTCTTTTGTGAAATGACGCTATTGCACTTTGGATGTAACGAAGCAAGAAAAGAGAAGTATATATTACCTTTGTTACCTAGACAACTAAGCTTCACGTATTGCAAACATTACAACCAAACACTCCCTACTTGTAGTTAGACATCGTTACCTAGACAACAAAGCTTCACGTATGGCAAACATTACAACCAAACACTCCCTACTTGTAGTTATACATCCTTACTAGACAACGAAGCTTCACGTATTACAAACATTACAACCAAACACACCCTACTTGTAGTTAGACATCGTTACCTAGACAACGAAGCTTCACGTATTGCAAACATTACAACCAAACACTCCCTACTTGTAGCTAGTGATCGTTGCCTAGACAACAAAGCTTCACGTATTACAAGCATTACAATCAAACACTCCCTACTTGTAGTTAGACATCCTTGCTAGACAACGAAGCTTCACGTATTACAAACATTACAACCAAACACTCCTTACTTGTAGTTAGTGATCGTTGCCTAGACAACGAAGCTTCACGTATTACAAACATTACAACCAAACACTTCCTACTTGTAGCTAGACATCCTTACTGGACAACGAAGTTTCACGTATTCCAAACACTCCCTACTTGTAGCTAGTGATCGTTGCCTAGACAACGAAGCTTCACGTATTACAAACATTACAATCAAACACTCCCTACTTGTAGTTAGTGATCGTTGCCTAGACAACGAAGCTTCACGTATTATAATCATTACAATCAAACACTCCCTACTTGTAGTTAGACATCCTTACTAGACAACGAAGCTTCACGTATTCCAATCATTACAACCAAACACTCCCTACTTGTAGCTAGTGATCGTTGCCTAGACAACGAAGCTTCACGTATTACAAACATTACAACCAAACAATCCCTACTTGTAATTAGACATCGTTACCGAGACAAATAAATCTTTTGGATTGTAATATTTGTATAGGTATAGGAAAAGATGGCTAACTACATCTTATCCAAAGCTGTTGTTGTTATTGAACACGCCCTTGGTAATAACTAGGTATAGTTAGCCACATGAAACAGGTTACGGCAGTATGTTCATGTTACTGTTAATTTCATTACGTAAGTATAAAAAAATCATCAAATTATATTTGCCATTCGTACAAAGGCATTGTTTAATCTCTCGTCTTCTATGAATAAATTACACCTCAAGGTATCGCGACTTCTTAAAAACGGGAACTGGGTATTTCAAGTGTATGACGACTAACAATAGTAATGGGTTAGTGCGATGAATATAAACACATAACTCCCAATAAATGTCACGACACCAACGTTTACAATAACTTTAGTTGTATAATGTTAAACAAACAAACAACATGCTCTACGTGTTTCCATTAAGGACATGATTTACCATGTTCAGCAAGTCTGAGAAGACGTTGGACCATGATGTCCACCGAAACATGTAGACGTGTTTGTTTGTTTTTGACATTATACAAATAAACTTACTATGTGGATGGAAACTTTGGTGATGGAAACATTGAGAGTATGCACAAGTGTTATCAGTCTAATATAATCACATAACTCCTCCCATGGCTATTACCACAAGTACTGTCAGTCTAATATATTCACATAATCCCCCCCTCATGGCTATTACCACAAGTACTGTCAGTCTAATATATTCACATAGCCCCCCTCATGGCTATTACCACAAGTGTTATCAGTCTAATATATTCACATAACTCCTCCCATGGCTATTACCACAAGTATTGTCAGTCTGATATATTCACATAGCCCCCCTCATGGCTATTACCACAAGTACTGTCAGTCTAATATATTCACATAACTCCACTCATGGCTATTACCACAAGTACTGTCAGTCTAATATATTCACATAGCCCCCCTCATGGCTATTACCACAAGTACTGTCAGTCTAATATATTCACATAATCCCCCCTCATGGCTATTACCACAAGTACTGTCAGTCTAATATATTCACATAACTCCACTCATGGCTATTACCACAAGTACTGTCAGTCTAATATATTCACATAGCCCCCCTCATGGCTATTACCACAAGTACTGTCAGTCTAATATATTCACATAACTCC